GTACTAAAAGTATATTTCTGCCTTCTCTTTGGCACATACTATTCACAATCTGATAAACTTCATTACTAGAAAATAAATATCATCTGATATAGTTATATATATACTAGAAACTCCTAAAATCTTAAAAATAGAATTAAAAAAAAAATGTTTCAAGAAAGCTAGAATCATCTATTTTATAGTACTTTGTCATTTATTGTTACTTATTAATGTTACTTTGTTTTAAAGTCCAGACAAAGAGTTTCAGAATGGACATTATAATCGGTCTATACAGTACCACAGAAGTGAAACAAAGCCCTGTGTTGTTGTGTTTGCTTTTTTGTTGTTGTTCATGGTGTTTTTGTTGTTGTTGTTGTTTTCCATAAATTATTGGGATAGGCCTTGTTCTGTGGCAATCTGTGTTCTGGATTGTTTCTGTGAGGATGAATTTAAGAAATGGTTTCAATAGATAATTTCAGTAAAATTAGCAGAAAATAAAGCAGGAAACAAGGAAACAGTTTCTAGTAAGAGAGTGAAAAGATGAGAAGCATAAATGCAAATATGGTTTCATGAGGTGTTAACAAAGGAAAATAAACAAGAAAATACAAGACCTTGTGGAGCCCTAGTTGAGCTTGTTTGTGTACTAACAATTAAACCTATTTCTTTAGATGATCCTAAGAGGTCTTTTCCAACCTAAGTGATTCGATGATTCTATGACGTTTCATAGAAACTATATATTGCTATAAAGCTGTGCAATGTAAATTTTAAAGGTTAACATGCTAGAAATTATAGTATATTGCTTAGAGTTGAAGGAAGTGCTATGTAAGGCCTAATATGAAAGATAGCAGAGGACCTTGTCCCATTCTCTCAGACTATCTTGAAAAGCACTGTGCATATGCAGAGGGATTAGCCTATAAAATCCTTTAATGTTATTTGTACTGCCATATATTTTTTTATCTACAGAAAAAAAAAAAAGTATTAATAAAGAACATTTGGTATTCCATATTTGGAAATCCTGTTCCCCTAAGAGTTTTAGTGGGTCCATGAATAGGATGGAAACAACAAGACTTGCCTGATTCTTTTTTCTGTATCCAGACAGAATTAAATCAAGATGAAGGAAGTTGTTTGATCTAATTATTATTTTTTTTCTGTGATTTATTTTTCATTACTCAGTATAATGTTTTCAATATGCCAGATGTCAATATGTATTGTCATATTTTTCACTTGGAACTTAAGTACGGTGAGGAAAAAAAAACATTACAAACAGAACTCAGAATAGTACAGGTGTTGCAAATGGTATATGCCATTACTATCACAGTATCACAAAAATTATACAAAATGGAAGGAGGCTGATGTCACTACAAAATTTAACAGCAATTTACTGAAGGTGCTACACAAAGGTCTAAATAGAGGACAGGTAATGACATATGACTTCCAGGACTGAGTTAAGAAATAAGAAATTCATTCTGACAACATTAAAAATCACTGGTAGCATTGGGTTCCCAGAAGTGGAAAGAGGTAATCTGATTTACTTTATAGAAAATTTGGTCTTGCTCAGTTAATGATAAAATATGAGACAGCATTTATTTGAATGTGAAATGTTTTACCTGAGTCTTTGTCTTCTCCTTTGCTAGACAGTGTTGAGTGAAAAATTCTATGAATATTTTGCAGTTCTGGCTGGCATCTGGATATGTTTGCATTTGTTTCCCATAGTGTTTAATCATCTCCTCCACAGGATTTAGAGTATGTCATAAACCAAAGTTAAGACAGCTTCTCCATATAGTATTTTCTCTTCAAGACCTATTGCATTTCTGCCTGTTAGAGGAGTGTGAGAAATCAGCTGCTGAAAGGTTAGTCATGAGACATCCTTGTGGTTACAAGAAGACTCAGTATATCCTTGGAGTGATTGCTTAAGTTGTGCAAATATTTCAAAGGATTCTCTGATTGCTGCTTTAAGTTCCATAAAGTTCCTTTGTTTTTCAAAAGGCGTTTAAAAAAAATGTTACAGAAAAAAGTGGTGACAATTTGGAAGGTCCAGTTAAATTCTTTTATGGGGAGAAGAGATGTCATGGCTATCAGAATAGTATTATTTACCGTCAAAAAAGAATGGTATGGACAGGATTAGTTTGTTTAAATGTGTGCATATAAACAACTCTTCCATGAAGCTATGGATGTTACTGAACTCAGAGGGAAATAATAGAAATTTTTACTGTGGTATTTAGCATTATACATGTCCATTTCTGTGTAATCTGCTTTGTTATACCCTGCTGTGCATTACTGGGTGATTTTGATGAGTATGTTTCCTTACTTTTAGCTGATGTCTCCATTTTGTGGTGACAGTAAAAATGACAGCAAGTATCTTCAAACTACCTTAGTCAGGATTTTACTTGTATAATTTCCAATGAACCATCCTGTTGCAAAAAAAAACTGAATTAGAGTAAAATTTCTCATGTTGGTTATGATGTTGTTTTAACTCTATCATTTTTATGTCAGGGTTTGCAGATTTTGTTCTAAAATATGGCAGATGTTTTTTCCTTTGCAAATTTTTTTTTGATGCAATATTTGCAGCAATTCCTTCTATTAAATATGTGACCTGCTGTTTTTAGGAGGTTAGCTTGGAGGTAAAGTCATAGTTATTTAAGTAATAGGTTCTAGGATTACCCCAGCATAGTTTCAGTTCAGCTCACTGATTGCCTAGAATTCCCATATTGTTAACCTCTCCTGGCAGGAGAATTCTGTCCAGCTGGCTCCCCTGTATTAAATTATGACATGATTTATTAGTTGCTTCATGCACTGTTGATCACTTGGGCTGTTTGCTGTGAAATCTTCCATAGAATACCCATACTTAAAATGTAGTTTGAATGTTTTTAGAGTTTTATGCAGTTTAGAACAGCTGCTGTGTTGTCAGATAGAAGCATAAGATGGTAAATAATGAGCTATATGTCATTGAGTGTATCCAAAAATAGTTAAAGGCATTAAAAGAATTTCCAGATTTGCAAAGTCTAGCTAATAAACACATAAACTTTATAGCAGTATATTTATCTTACTTTTTTTTTTTTTTTTTTTTAAATCAGCAGTGTGCTTGAGAATCCATTGGATATGGAAAAATAAACAGAACTTAAGGGAATAGTGTAGATATGTGGTCAACTTTGAAAATACACACAGAAAAATATAACTTAGAGTATTGGTTTATCGGTTTATCTCCCTTTACAGTTTTAATAAAGAAGACGGTGATTTGCTTCATTATCTTTTCAAAGGTGTCATAAATTGTTCAGACTTATGCATGGGTACAGTGCACTAATACTGAGATTGTAGCTCACTGGGTAGCGATTTTAATTGCCTGGATGATTAGTTTGCCTAGAGAAGAGAGTGTAAAATAGAAGGGATAACTTGAAAAGATTGATGATTTCATCTTTCTAACTCAGTTTGCACATTTTAACTTTGAAATAGTCTGTGCAGTCTATGTATTTGAAATATTCTATGTAATGTGTATTAGAAAAGTTTATTGATGTGACCCTTGCAATAGGAACCATGGGAGTCATTGTTTGCTTTCCAAAAATATATATATTTAATAAGATCTTATTATAATCCCTGTAGTAGAAATACCAAGAGTTTCATTCCATGTACTCAGTAATTAGACTTAAAGTTAACTAATCACAGAATCACAGAATCACAGAACTGTAGGAGCTGGAAGGGACCTCGAAAGATCATCGTGTCCAACCCCCCTGCCAAAGCAGGTTCCAGGTAGGCATCCAGATGGGCCTTGAATATGAGGCACTTACAAATTATTATATGGTCCTAGAGCTGAAACCACCTGCAATCTGTTTTGTCAAATCTAATCTTCATGGCTAAAGGAACTTTCTTTCTCTGTCTGTTAATTATCCCTCATTAACATCCAGTTCTTCAACAGTGGTCCTCAAAGCAGTACACAGTCCATAATATCTGATGTTCCTCAGGGCTAAAAGGAGAGCCAAGTGTGAGGTTGCCTGCAGAAGATTTCTCGCTCACTGTTAGTGTCTAGAGATCAGTGAAGACTGGGGGCTGCTGCTGCAAGGAGGAGGACTGTATTCTTTAGAGTTTCCTATTTCCCTTTTTCTTTGCCTAGCTTTCACAAAATGAATTCTGCTTATGTGTTTGTATCCCAGACTTCTGGTAAATTTGAAGAGTTGTATTTCTGCTGTCCTTTTTTTAACCCCATTACATTGATTTATCTCCAAATATGCCTGAGTCATCTTTCTGTGCTAAAAAGCCAGGATCCTGGCCAATTTGTTATTCTGTTGTTGTTGTTGTTTAAAGAAAGTATTAATTCTTATTCTGTCTTCTTAAAAATCAGCTGGCAAATACACTAATAAAAATTCTAAATGTTTTAGATTTCATCTACATTTAAACATGAATATTTTGAACAACTAGGCTGAACTTGTAGTTTAATTTTTCCACATTTTCATTAGTGGTAAACATGAAGGGTTTTGTTGTTATTCAAAATATTAATGGTACTGAAACAAACTGAGCACAGATTGTGATGCAAATGCTTCTCAGTGTTTTGAAGAAACAGCAAGAGCCTTTGCAGCTGCTCATTTCTGGAGAACAAACATTCTGTCTCACAGCAAAGCACAGACCTTCAGAACTGAAATAAACAAATACACATTGTTCTGTGTGATGTTTAAAAGATGTTTATGATAGAAGAAGAAGCCAACGAGAAGTGTTACTGAAGTCCTGCTGCACAGAACGACTGCCTGCCTTGTATCTTGTGGCACAGGCGTGGGGTGCCAGGAGTATTTGCAAGCCCTTCTGTCATCCCTTAGAACTTCTTTTCAGTGGATTTTCATAAAAACCACTTGAAAAAAAAAAAACACGCTTTGGGGAAAATCATAATTTTAATACCAACATGATTTTGGTACCGTGTTAGAACAGATAAATGATTCTGCTACCATATGTTAACTACTGTTCATCTTGCTCAATATACTGTTTACTCTGTAAGTAAAAGAGCTCATGAAAGCTGTGCCTGTGTTTTTGCCATTTTGCAGACTGCACAGAGGAAGTGTGGGGATTTCCCATGTGTCAGTACTTGAAGGACAAGGGCTGGTGTTGTGGTCGCAATGCTAGAATGTCAGCATGTTTGGTATGGTTCCCCTTCTTTTCTTTTTCCTACTGAGAGCTTTATCCAGATGTTACAGAATTCATTGTTTTTGGCTTCTAATCCTAGAGCCATGACTTTAATCCAAGACTCTACAGAATAACATCATTAATGTTGTAAGCATGATGAATTGTATCTAAAAAAATAGTATTGACCTTCCAGCGTTATATATTTTATACTTGCTGGAGGCATGAAAAAATGAGTATTGACAGAAATGTATTTTAAGAGTGGACAGAGAGGCCAACCCTTTGCTGAAACGTAAACACAGTAACTCCTCGGGGTAATAGTTCCTGGCCAAGGACTTAGGGGGGAAGAAGGTAATTGTAGAAGGATTGCAATCAGTAACTCCCCCAACGCCTTCATGATTCATAATATTGAATGTTCTGACTGTTTGAAACCTAAACAAACCTGCCTCTTCCAAAAACTAGAAGAGCTCTAAAATCCTTGTGGCTTAACAGGCTGGAAACATCTTTTTAACATTGCACCAGGAGATGCAATGCTCTTAATGACCTAGCCTCAACAAGACAGGATGATGAACTCTTGTCTAATTTGAAAGAACAGATATGTATCAAAAGTTTTGACCACTATTTCAGTTAGAAGAGTAGTATTCCTTTGCTTTATTAATTTTTAATTTCTTGTATTGAGATGAATCATAAGAGGTTCTGGTGAGCTTCTGGCGCTAGTTCTGTGCTTCTGTTGGAGAGAATAGTGTAAACTAAAGACTCAGTATAGGCTAACGTATCAAGGTTATATGAACTTGAGCTAACATGATAATTTAATGCTATCAGAAGAAGGTATAGGAGGATGGTTATTTAATATTTCTTAAGGCTTAAATGTGTTACCCATGGCAAGGTTCGAAAAAAAAAAAAAAAAAAAGTGCTACTTTTAGAGATGATGGTTGTAAAACTATTATCACAAAAATGCTTTCTAGAAAGGAATTGCCTGTTTCTCTTTTTGTTGCCAATGTCATGCAATACCATTTCTTCCTCAGCTATTTCCTTTCTAATTCCCTTTCTTTTGGAAAGGGAAAGTTTGGGCTGTCTTTCAATAATGGTAGGAGGATAAATTTTGAAAGCAAATGACCCCCAAGAGATCATACTGAACATGCCATATATATCTATTTTAGATTTCATAGAATTCACAGAAATTTGGCAGTTAAAAATGTTTTTGTTGTTTAAACTTTCACAAAAGGCAAGGAGCTCTTCTATGTCACTAAATACTTCTACTGTTACTATGTTTGTAATTTCCTGTATGCATTTTACATGACTAGGATATTCCTCGCCTTCTAGGAGGTACAAGGGAGAGACAGTGCAGTGCAGCTGGGCACCTACCTTCTTCCTAGGGCCAACGGTCTAGCTTGGGGAGACGGAATGTGCTGAACTATGTTAATATACTCAGAATTATTACATATATTCTTTATTATGTGTTGTTCAAATTGGTTAAAGGGCCAAGGGCCAAAGGGTCTGGATGAGATACTCAGTTTTGGACCCTTCCAGTACATGTTAGAGCCCACATCCATCTTCTATGACGTGCACTGTATAAGTTTATATAGCAAAAGTCAGATTTGATACTTGGGCAAATCCATGAATGGAGGAACTGCAACTACTAGGACAGTGGTTGAAGAACAGTTTGAAATGAAAGATCAGTTCTCAAATTAGGAGAAGGAAAAATGGATAATTCAGAGAGAAGCAGTTCTATTTGCTGTGGTGGAGTCTGGGGACTAAAGGTGATGATAATATGTAAGCAGTGAGGCATTTTTGATTTTTTATTTAATTTATTGTAGTGTCAGGTAATTTACTGATTTTTTACCTTAATTTCTAGTGCAGTCTTTACTACTCAGTTGAAAATTTTACAGGAAAAGTATCTTTTCAACTGCAGAAAAACATTCCATACTTCTAATTATTTGCCATTCTTTTTTATTATGGATCATAAAAATCAAGTACTCTCACACTAGCATCAGGATTTAAGGTCTGAGGAATTTTTTGTGAAAGATAATGAACAGCCTTTTAAACTTAAATCCCTCTGAAATTTTTATTTTATTTAACTTTACATAAGGATGTTTGATTTATCTGTATACTAGAGCGTAACAGTAAAGACATTGTACATTGAAATAATATTTACTTTAAAGTACTGATTATGCAAAGTGAATTACTCGTATTTCTGCAGAAACAGAAAATATTAAACAGAAATACATGACATTGCATTTATAACATTATAAAATATTTAATTATAATTGTATAATACAAAAACAGAAAAAAATCTTTTTAACACTTTCATATGACGTATTTCTCTGAAATTCTTTTAGATTACTAAGAAAAGGAAAAAAATTTGCTCACATCTATTTCCATTCAGTTGGTTATCATCACGTCTCCTATAAATAAACCAAAATAACAGGAATGAGCTGATTATGAGTCCCTAAAGGTATTAACACTTTAAAGTGTGCAAGTTCATGTTATATCACACCATTAATCTTTTAAAATGTTGTATCCTCTGACTTTTATACAATGTGTTTATAAAATGTTCTGATAAAGAATAAACATATCAGCAATTTAATTCCTTCACTTTTAAAGGCTTTGGAGCGAATTGCAGTTGGCCAAATGGTAAGTAATATTGTTTATTTTAACCATTCTAAGATAAAATGTGTTTTTCCCCTTTGAATGCTCTCAGTCCATGACCTTATATTGAACTTCTGAATTTCTGGAATCTAAAACACTAGCACACACTACATCAAATCCTGATAGATAGCATGTGTCATCACAAAATTGCATTTTTATTGCTACAATTGTACCTAGTGAATCTGTTTTCTTTTGACAATTAAGAGTCTGAAAAAAAAAAAAGCACAGCTTAAAATTTAAGACATTAAGATACTCTTCCTAGCTTCTTGCACTATCTTTCAGCAACTACATAAATTCAGTCCAAATGTCTTTCTGATATCCCTGGTTTGGATCACTCTATCCCAGTGTTATATCAACTAATGTAAAAATAGAAATTGTTATGACAAAAGCTTGAATCTGTAAGAAACATCATCATTCTCATTTTTAATCCCTGTATTTTTTTTTTCTGTGAATACTTTGAATTCTTGTTGTACAAGTTATCCTATCAGGGATGGTGGACACCAACTGTGCAGATAGTTAAAAGGCAAGGCTGAGAACTCTTATTTCTGTATGTAAGCCCCCTGATCCCAGTAGTATTCTACTGTAGATGCATTTTGCCATGAATTTTAAATCAGCAAGTATTAACTAATTTTATGCAAACACAAAGATATGAAGTTTTCAGTGTCTTCTGTTTTTAATAGCACAATACTTTCTACATGGTTGCGACTACAGTGTGTGATGATTCAGCTAGGGAATTATTCCTTTGTCTTTAAAACAGTTTAGGTAAATTGTTATATTTATTTTGCATAGTAGCATTTGGATCATGATCAGTATATTTTTTTCTTCTCTGTTCTTTTTCCCTCTGCCAACCTTTGAACTGTACTTCAGAGCCCAAGTTTCTTTTTTTTTTTTTTTCTCACATTAATGGTTACGTTAGAATCTGACCAAAAATGTAAATTTAAGTGTGTGCAAGAATATTAGTGAATAGTCCCCTTAAAGTTGTTATGACTGATTGTAAAGAATGTAAGCCAATAGGTAGTTAAGGAAGTCAATACTGGTTTTGTTACTCTGATATTAATTTCAATGCCAATTTTAAATCCTTGCTGTGGTAATGTATGTATGTATTTATTTATTGATTTTGCAGCTGCCTACAGATTCATTGTTTTATCGAGCTGTTCTTCAAGTTATTATAGAAGAAAATTACGGCGTCACCAAAAGGTAGGAAGCTCTGAATTCACAGACCACAAACCAAAGATTTCTTAAGAAGTCATGTTTAAGAATCAGACTCATTAGACTATAGACTATCAATTGGTATTAAAATGAAGGATACATTTGTTCATCCACATCACAAATGTATTACCTTTCCTTTACCCATAGCTTAAAAAGGTCCTCCTTGGTACTAGAAGCATGGAAAAAAACATGTCTTCAACAGAGAACAAACAGCAAACTCACTAAAAGTCAAAAAAAATCTTAGTCTGCCTTGTTATTCAGAATTCCTAGCAACTTTAATAGTGCAGAAGACAAAAAGACATTCCCATTTATCCTGAGAAAAATCTGGTATATGACCAACAGTTAGCATAGCTGTAAAGGACTGCTTACTGCCTATGTCTACATTAGATGTAAGACCTTGAACTATCATTAATCTGTTTTGCTTTTTTAAACTACTTGTATATATCAAGAACCTAGTAAATATATTGTAGTATATTTGCTGACCCTGGCCAGCAACTAAGCACCCACTAGCAGCTCACTCAGTACCCCCACAGCAGGATGGAGAAGAAAATGGGAAGAGCAAAAGTGAGAAAAATCCACTGAGATAAGGACAGTTTAATAACTAAAGTAAATAGAAAGGGGAAAAAAAAAAAAAAAAAGTAAAGCAAATGCAATCACTCACTGTCTGCCACCCCCAGCTGACTGATGCCCAGACAGTCTCCAAGCAACAGCTACCATGGAAAGATTACCCCCCATAGTTTTATTGATGAGTGTGACAGTATATACTATGGAATATCCTTAAAGTCAATTTGGGTCAACTGTCCTGGCAAGGTCCCCCCCCGCCCAACCCAAGCCAACCTGCCACAGGGCAGAGCTGTGTGACAGCAGATGAAACATCAGTGTGTTACCAGCACTTTTTTAGGCACAAATCCAAAATACAGCGCCATATGGGCTGCTGTGAAGAAAATTAACCCAGCCATACCTGGTGCAATGTCTTTCCTCCTATAGCAGAATTAGGAGGGCAGAAGCCTGTCTTCCAGTATCAATGCAGCATAATCAACTGATTTTCAAACCACATGAGCCCAAATGTTTAAATGCATCTCAACATTAAATATGACTACAGAAATTATTTCGTCTTTAAAAATAAACATGACTTGATTCTCAGTGAGTGGGTATCCCTGCCACTCAAAAAACGTTAGAACTGCTACTGAATAAAGTCTTTCTGTTGACCTCAGTGGATGTTAATTCTGATGCTTAAGTAAGGAGTAAGGAGGATTACTATTATTAAAGAGAGGAAAATGTTTAAAACATTTTAAAAGTGTTGTTTGTTTGTTCTTAAGAAGATATTTGTATTTAATGTTATTTCTCCTTAACTAGTTGAAGTGCATACTCAGGAACAGCTACTGTAGCTGAAAATGTTAACTCCTACACAACAAAACTGGAAGAGGGCAGTGTTACAGCAGAGCATAGTCAAGAAGGTGAATTCAGACTAACAAAAGCTGTGTGTAGTTTCTCCAAAATATTTTAAACACGGCGGGGAAAAATTGTATGTGACCTGCTATGAGTCAGTATTTCTATATGTTCGTTACATTTTCATACATTATTGTAACATTTTATGAAACTAAACTACCCACATTTTAGCTGTCTTCAAAAGTAAGTTGTGTCTAAAAAGTTTTTCAAGTATTAGCTAGTTATTATAAGTGAAAGGTGGAAAAGGAATATTGCTACTAACTTGACAGTAGTGGCTGTCCAACAGCTTTATTTGCCATGAATTAAAAATCCAATTAAAATTATTTTTAAAATGTGTAAGTTTCTGTTACTGGAATGCATGCATCTCAACACTATATTTGCAGTGAACGACATGTTGGGAAAATTTTCTCCAAATCATCCTCTTTCTTGGATTATGTCAGAAAGTCTCTGAAAAAACTGGAACTGGATGATTCAAAGGTGAGTCGCTAAGGAGAGACTGTATGAAATCCTTATATCCATGTGAGTTCTTGAACTCAACACCACAATGCAGTGTTTAAACCACTGAGTTGTGTAGTTTGTATATTGCTGTATAAATATAAAGTAGTTTTATTCTTAGCAATAATAATAGAATAATCCATACTGATATATTAAAGAAATAAATCAAAGCTGAGTTGTTTCATGTTTTTTGGAAATCAGCTTCCATGTATAAATCCTTTAAAAGGTTTTGTTTTTTTTTTTTGTAATGACTTTATATAAAGCAATCCTTTATTATACATAATGCTAATGATCAGAATTTTTGAAAGCCTTTCCAGTATTTATGAATGTAATCCTAAAAATCACCTTTGAGGCAAAAAAAAAAAAACAAAAAAAAAAACAACAAAAAACAGTGCTACATGCTCCATTTTATACATGCAGTCATTTAGAAGTAAATATAGCCATAAATATTGCTGAATGAAGCAAACATGAAGAACTTCTTGCCTGTGCTGATAATGTATACTCTGATAAAAGTAACTCCTGCACCGTTTTAAATCCATCTGAAATACTATGCAATACAAACTCACTGCTTTTTCATGTGTACTTTCTCGTACAGTTTGGTTCCTAAAGTATCTCCTATTGATTTTAGCCTTCAGACAGTCTCCTTAAGTAGCTTTTGAAGATCTTGTGAAGCCTCTGTGTGTACAAAAACCTATTACTTTCTTATTTAAATTAATGAATGTTGAGGATGAATGTTAACTTTTTAAAATAACTTTCCTACATAGCGAAAAAGAAGTAGGTACAAATCTGAGATTTAAAATTGAAAAATCTTTCAGATTTTTTTCATGTTCTCAAATGTCATGTCTTAGTTCTTTACCATACAGCTGTTAAATTGGTCAACAGATGGCAACATAGCATTAGGCATGGAATATAGCTATGTGAGTGTAAGGTCATAACCATGCTATGGGAATAAATTGTGTAACAGAAACTAGAAGGTATTAGATTATTTTAAAAAATGTATAAATCAAAGAAACAATAGCTGTGGCAAGTGAGTAAAGTATTTAAGTTGAATGTAGTAGCTTTCAGTAACTCAACTCTTACAATCAGAAGCCAAAGTATGAAATCACTTAAAATTTGCCGGATACATCAAACCATGAGCTAGGAGAAAAATGCAAAACCTAACAAAAATGCAAACATAAATAAAAGACTGAATAACTGCAAATGATGTTGGAATCATGCTTGCATGATAAATAGGCACTAACATAATGCATTTGCCTCAGTTGAAAGCAACTAGTAAGATGCTACCTTCCTTATTCTGTGTACAATCATCCAAACGCAATAGTAGATTGATTGTATAATAGTTTATTTAAGTAATTATTGATTAAACGCTGCTGGTGAGAGTTACATAGTATTTCCTTTAAAATTATTGAACATGTAAACTTCATGTTATGTGTCTGATTTTAGAAGCACTGCCTTTTGCTAGAAAGGGTCTGGGCAAGGCTGCCCTGAGAGAAACGTCTGGCAACACCACTTCAAGCTACACATTTGCATAGGTGCTTAAGATCTGATTCAAGTAAATGTTCATTTTTGCTTGTATTGCTCCTCATTTTTATGTGCAGCTGGCTGCATGGTGACAACTGAGTTTTATGCTGACATAAATAATATTATTTTTTATTTCCCAGCTATATTCAAATCTGCATCAGGACAAACCAGTGCTATTTTAATGCTAGCATGAGGAAAGTTGTTAACGCTTCCTCAGCAGTGGCTCTGACATTGCAGTTTTCATGGTGGAGTCAGCACTATTTCTACACGCTAATGGAGAATGTGTTAAATTTCTCTCTTCAGAAAAAATACTTACATAGCTAAAATTGTGATGAAGGCTAAACACTTGCTCTCAAAGACAACAAAAATCAAAGAGAAATTTATGTAGAATTTGTTTTCTAGTTCTGTTTTAAAAACTGAACAAAAGAGCAGCTGCACCGCATAGACCAAACGTCTGCTCTGTCTCTGACGGTCGCCAAAAACTGATGCTTAGGAAGAATGTAAGACGGGAGTAAGCATATATGAATAATATAATAATATTTCCAAATAATCAAAAATGTGCCCATCAGCCACAGAAAAAGGAGGCATTCATCATTGTCTCCATGAAAAAAAAAAAAAAAAAAAAAAAAAAAAGCAGCTGAGGAAGACTTGGTCAAATCAGAAGTGTTCAGTTTATTACTTTTCCAAATCTGGAGATAAAAAAGTGATCCACCACAGAGCACTGGCACTAGGGGAAGTAATTAGGGGTGCAGTGTGATACAACCAGGGAGAACTGTAAGAAAATATTGTTTACATAGTGGTCTCTGCTTTATGAGTGCAAATGCTGGATATTTAACAAATAAATTTTTAAAAGTCAGAAAACTGAGAGTCATAATATCAAATAGTAATGCAATTCTTTTACAATGGGAAAATTTAATCTCTCTACAAGAGACTAAACTCTCTTACTGTCTCTACAAGAGAATATGTCTCTACAAGAGAATAGAGATAACGACCAGCACGGTGCCATTTTCCAGTCTGGACAAACAGAGAGGTAGGATAAAGAGGGCAACTGCATAAAACACCTGACCCACCTCAATGCTCATTTACATAAATACATGCCTTTTTGCTAAATAGAGATGAGGGCTTTTCTCAGGTATAAACATCCAAACAGTAAACTGATTTTTGCTATTATTTTTCAGTAAGGTTAGGTACTTCAGTCCTACCAGTTCTTCATTTTAACAAGCCTCTCTGCCTCTTTTGTTGTGAAGACCTTTGCTTATATGAAATCAGAACCAGACCCTTTATGAAAAGATTGTCAATCGGGAGTGAGTAAGAGTGAGACAAAATAGTAAAATAGTTTTTTCTACAAAAAATAACATTTACCTATCACCTAGGGCCATTCACTGTTACAAGTTCCTGCTCATGGACTGAAGTTTCCCATTACCTTAGCCAAAATAATTTCCCCCACTGTGTTTTCTTTTCAATGTAGAAGAGCCTGTCAAGTCCAGATCACACACTGAGATGTAAATGAACTTTTTTTTTTTTCTGTCTTTTAGTAGAGAACCATTCTTTTCACACATTTCTCCACCTCAGTGGTAAAACTAAGGCATACACCATGACTTTTGAATGTCTGAACACATTGTGAGGGCAGAGAGGGAGTCTTTTAGTGTCAGCTTGATGCTTCGCAGGTATGGTTATATTGCTTCTAGATTTAGAACTAATGGCATTGCTCTGTGGGCCAAGGATCCCTGCACAGGTCTTCAGTAATGAGTGTGGATACACACTGAGGCAGAATTTTATTCCAGGTTGTTTTCTCTGTCTTAGCTCACTCTGTTCCTGTGTGCTCCATGTTGTATGAGCAAAGCATTCAGCATCACTTAGATATCTAAGGGAGAAATTCAATCAGATTCCTTCTCCCTTTTAATCAGTTTTACCTAATTCAACATAAATGTGGGACTCTCACTTGAAAGAATGAAGTGTTTGTGTCTGTTCTTTCTTCTGGAGGATCTGGCTGCTCTTCCACCTGTTAGTCTTGCTTCTTTCAAGCAACAAGGGCAGTCACTCCTGCCTGTTGCCACATTTCTTCATCAGAATGAGTTTCAGTTCTATTTGAAGCCTTATTGCAGATACACTTAAAAGTAAGCCTCTTTATTAAGTCATTTGGCTACTACTTAGGACAATAAGTGCTACAAATGGCATTGCCACAGCAAAAAGTACTTGTGTAAGTATTCATGTATATCTAGTCTTAGAAAAGATAGAAAAATGTTCTGAAATTGCCTAGTGTCCTGTAATTATTGGGATAAATTATCAAAATGTTGTTGTTAGAGCTTACCTTACTTTGATTTAAGGTGATTAAAGGTTACAGGCTTACCAGGTTAAGGCTGGGAGACGTGGGGATCTGCAGTCCAGCTAGGACAACTGTTCTGGTAGTGAGAGCCTCAGTGGGTGGAGCTATTTAGGAAACAGAAGCTGGCTGGGATTCATTTAAGCACAAAACACTATTTAATGCCACATCCAATTGCAGGAAGATACACAGGGCTGGGAACACTCCTGATGCATCCGCAAAGGAAAGCTATTAGCCACTTTGATTTCATCTCCTGCTATACACATACTGGAGTTACTGCTATGGCCAAATAGCATACAAGATAGTTATTTAGTCAAAATATTTCATTAATCACGTAACCCTTTCAGATGTATACATGTGCTCACGAGGAGCAAGAGCAACTTTGAAGGAAGGGTCACTGTAAACCTTCACACACAAAAGAATGTCTGTCAGTGAGCCTGTTGTTGCAGATCTACTTGGTTTTGTACATCCAAGCTTCCAGGTGGCCTGTGACTGGTATTTTTCAGTTTTGAACAGTCTGGTGTCTGCACATAACCTGAAGTTCCTGCTGCTCTTCCCCCTGGAAAAAAAAAAAAAAAAAAAAAAAAGTCATTTATTTGGCAAACAGTCTGAGATAAGATCTGCAACAATAAACAGATGGTTACTGCTCAGTTTCCACTATCCCTGCTTGCTCTACCCCGACCAGACTTCCTAAAAATAGCTGCTGCCCATTTGTCTTTTTCTGATCCTGTGCTTCAGGTAGAACATCTCACACAGATTTACAGCTGTCAAATCTGAACTGGTGGATCAGGAAAGGGCACTAGACCTATGTGTGAGGTGTTGTACCCATCACAGTAGCACTTAAATTAATAACACAGTAAGAGAAACTCATGTCCTGTGGAAAACTCATTTATCATCTTAAGTGATTTAAACAACTTTGATATTTGATATGTTATGTCTAGCAATGTTAGAATATTTCAAAGCCTTGATTTAGCTGTGTAGTTAAATATAGATATAAGTAGTATCATCCTATATATTCTGCAAAGGTTATGTATTTAGAAGTATATTTAATTAAATGAATGCGTTAGTACTTTATTTGGCTACAATAACCAAGACTTTGGGGTTTATTTATAATTGATAATGGATACATAATAATATA